CCCCAAAACCCCAAAACCCCAAAACCCCTCTATGAAAGGTTTACTTTATTTTAGGGATAATAGGATTAATACAATAAAATATAGTCATTTCATAATAGAATTATTAAATAACTTGGATTCAAGCAATTTATAATAATTATAATAAAACAAATGAGAAAGCTCAGTCTTACCTTACTTACCTTAGCTGTTGTCGGCTTTGTTTCAGCCGAGAACCCATTTAGATCAATCTTCTCCACAAAGAAAGTTGCATCTGCACCAACTAAATGTGATGCTGGAATTTGCGCAGAAGGAAATCACTGCAATGAATTCGGATATTGTGTTTCAGGCTCTCCTAACAAGAATGCTTTCGGCCCCATTAGCACTCTTGATGTATGTGGACCAAAGCACGATAACCAAGAATGTCCATCAGGAAAAAAATGCACAGAGTTTGGAGTCTGCATTACCGATACTTAACCAGCTAAAGCTGTACCTTCATGCAAACTTAACAATGATTGTGCCTCAGATCATCACTGCAATGAGTTCCATTACTGTATCCCAGGCTCACCTAAATAGATTACCCCAATGGAAAAATGTGGAAAGCAAAGAACTGAATAGCCAGACTTTAAATGTCCAGAAGGTAGTCATTGCAATGAGTTCGGATGGTGCATTGGAAAGCCAACCAGCAAAACTGACGACCCTCCAGTTCCAACTAAGTGTCAACTCCACAGTGATTGCAAATCAAGTCAACACTGCAACGAGTTCCACTGGTGCATTCCAGGTGCTCCATCTTTCGAGTCAATCAATAAATGCCAATCACACAGAGATTGCCCAGCTCAACACAAGTGCAGCGAATTCAACGTTTGTATTTCAGGTGCTCCATTTGAAGTTGCTAAATGCTAGGCCAACAATGATTGCGAATCCGCACACCATTGTAATGAATTCCACTTCTGCATCCCAGGCACTCCAATCACATCTGATGGTATCCACTGCAAAGCAAGCAGTGAATGTGCCTCAGACCACCACTGTAATGAGTTCCATTTCTGCATATAAGGTGCTCCAAAGTAACACTCCGTCCTTAGTTTCTTCCAGAAACTCTTCTGAGGAATTAGCATCTCTGATTGAGAATTTCAATGATTCATTCTTTGATAATTTCCAAACTAGTTATTTGACAACAATAACATCTAAATATAAATTAAAAACTATCTCTCTCTTTATCTTAAAAAATGAAGTTAAGGGGTTTTGGGGTTTTGGGG